CAACAAGCTTTATTACCAAATTGAGAAGTTAAACTTAATTTACACACATAATATATTAATACAAAAAAAGGTAACATTTACTCAGAATAACTGAAAAGCTAATCTAGCTGAGTAAAAGTAAATAATGTTTAAAAATAGGACGTAGGTTGGCACAAAAGCTTGAGCAAAGCAAATTATTGGTCAAAAAATAAATAAATAAAAATAAGATAAAGAAAAAGAAAAAGAAGATGAAGAGACCAGTTGAAAACTCATGAACAGTAAGGCTGTAAGATGTTTAATTTGACTTTGTGTTTAAATGTTGTAAGGGGGAGGTGTTCAATGCTTTCGTCAAAGTGATTCCAAACTTTTACAGCTGCAGAGCGAATGTTGAATTTACCATAATTTGTTTTGATGGTATTAATGTAATAGGTTGATTTAAAAGCAAGCTTGGTATTGTAAGAGTGCATGGATGCTACTTTTTGAAAAAAATTTACAAAGGAAGATGGAAGAAGATTATAGTAATAATCAAATTTAGGCTTTTGAATGCTTTGGAAACAATTTCTCCAAGAAGCAGATGAATTTACTGACAAACGTAATCCCCCAAAGCAGTTGTTAGATAAGTTTAATTGCTGACATGTAAGATGTCATAAATTGTCCCTTGAAAACTAAGAGGAAAAAAGCTGCACTAATGTGTGTTAGTTTGTACCGAGGTCCCTTACTGAATTGCTATAAATATATAATAATAATAATTTTAATTACTCACACAGAAAACCAGCCAGCCCTTGCAGATTCCAAAGGGAATCTACTTGATTAAAACCAGTTTTATTTACTGTTATCCCTATTTGTTTTCTTGAAGAGGTCCTTCCAGTTATTCCACACAACTAATTTATTACAAGCATGTTAATGGTGTTATTTATGAGGTATTTTTTTGGTTTTTAAATCATGTTATATCAGTTTTAATTATAGTCAACAGTTTGGCCGATAATAATTGCAACAATCATTGTCAATGATGGACTTGTAATTGATATATGTGTCTATTTGAATGCAAATATTCTACCCACTACACCAGTGGAGTATCTTTTAATTCAAATGCATCACGAAAGTTCTGATACATGCATATGATTCTGACCATAGCCTTCTCTCTTTGTTGATAAGACATGATTAATTACCAGTGCTTACTGTTGCCCCTAGTGGGGCACTGTTTTTTTTTGTGACGAGAGCAAACACAAACTGGTATAAGATGTGTCATCTTCTCAGCCCTACTCATAAAAGATGTGCCATCTTAAGAGCAGGATAGGTTGCCCTTGTTACAAAGTCAGAAAGGAAAATTTTAAAATTGTATTTCTTGCTTTTTTTGTTGCTCTTCCAAGTCAATATTCCTGTTAGAAGGCTATGGTGGCCTAACTGGTTAAAACTCTGGTTTATAATTTTAAGTTTGATTTGTCAGTTGCTTGCCTAAATTCAATTTCATAGATCAATAATTGGCAGGAATTGGGAAATAAATCGGTACATGTATGTTATCTAGCAGCGATGTAAAATTATAGACATGAGTATGACCTACGAAGTAATTTGTATCTGATGGACCCTAGAGCACCTTATCTGTGCATTATTAAAAATGTCCCTCTAACATTCATTCACAATTCGTAAAGCAGAAGTACAAAATTAGTTTAGACCAAGAGCACACATAAACTTGCTAAAGACATGCACATACATTGTAATTTTAACCTTGCAAAGCCCAATAAAAAGACTCCTGCCGTGGCATGGCTAGGGTCACTTTACCTGATTAGAGTGTTAATTATTACTTTCTTAAGCAGAGGTTTCATTAAGATTTTGAGGTGATGGGAAATGTACAAGGAAGCAGGCAAAATATGTTTTGATTCTGATTTATGTCAGTCACAACATGCAGAAAAAATTATGTTCCTAGCCAGTCAATTTGCCCAGTGTCAGGCCCATGAAACCCCTACTTAAGCTTATAGTATTCAGTGAGATATTATGGAAGCCAGTGTTGCCATAATGCCTGTTGTTGTTGGTCTTCTTGCAGGGCTGGCATCCAAACATTCTTGAGCCATGGAAACCAAAAGTGGAATGTTTTGCTTAACACCTACTTTGAACAGAATTTTACCAAGGGAAAAAATATCACTGGCTTCATTAATTCTTTGCAGGAGGAAAGGAGCTGTCACATACTTTTCCAAGATCGATGATGTAGCCATGTTTGTTACTCACAAGAAAATTATTAGCCTTCAAATCACAGTGAAGAAAGCCTTTTGTGTGAATATGTAAAAGGGCTTCTGTCAAATCATGTGAAATAATTAACCAGTCATTTGTTATGAGTGAGCTTTGCACATTCTGTATTGTTGCACTGTTTTTCTGACAAGACAATAGTTTGCTTATTGTTACAGATGTATTGTCTTCCCCTTTAAACTCCATTATTAAGGAAATGGGCTGCTTTTGAAGCTGCACACCTATTATGGTTGGGATATTTTTATGTGCGAGTGCCTGCATAATGTGAGCCTCCTTCATTATCTCTGTGGTGTCCTGCATCAGAGACTGTTTTTCCACAACCTTTATATCAAATCGTGTGTACTGTCTCAGAAGGCATCAACCATAGGATCCTTCTCCCAGTATTATATTCTCTCCATTGGTTGGAAGAAGTTCAGTATGATTGATTAAGTTTACAGTGGATTATTTGGTACTTGCATTACTTTTAAAAAACTGGAAAATGAAGGCAAATATATTATAGAGAGTGTGCTTAAATAAATGCTAGATTGCAACACAAGTAAAGGTGAAGATTGTTGATAAGATTGTTGATCTCATTGTTTGGCATGCAAATTACTGCAAAGTAACTAGAAACATTACTCCTCCTCCAGATGGACTAGACATTAGCATTGGATTTTATTTTTTTCTTGGCGTGCTCTCTCTGCGCTGTATTAAGAGCTTTCCAGTTTACCAATGAAAACGTGTCTTGGTACTGGGCCCTGACTTTTGAGTTCATCTTTCGGAAAGAGCTGTAAATTGCTTTGGATTTCTTGACGTAGGTGGAACGTTCGACCGCAAAGACTTCCTGACTGTCACCCTCGAACGCTGCAAGATAGTTCTTCCACTTTTCACTAGGGTTAGTTTCAACCGAAGCACTTCCAACCTTACGAAAGAATGTAGGTTGTGTCGCCCCATTGCCTTGTCGCCCCAGGTTATGTCGCCCCAACCGAAGTTACGTCGCCCCAACATCGGAGTTGTGTCGCCCCAACATATTAGTTGTGTCGCCCCATCATCAAAATTATGTCGCCCCATCGAAGTAAAGTATTAAGTTTAGCTGACTCGCTTGCCGTTATTTCAAAATGCACCTGTGTACTGCGAAGATGATAAATCTACTTCGAACATTTCGGCTTACTTCAGGATTTTATTTCAATAGTTTGATGTAAAGCATGCTTAAAATGAAGTCATGTAACATTAACTAACCTTTCATTCGTGTTTTTATATCAAAAGGTGCTTTAGTAGAGGAAAGGGCAATCAAAAAACTTCACAAAACAAGCGTAAAGTTGGAGTGTCTCGACTCACTTTCTATAACTAACTTAACGAATTGTTTTAAGCGTCTCTCGGCCCAACAAATAATGAACAAGCCTTGAGAAGTTGTCTCGCCGTCTTGTCGCCCTCTTCATATTGTCCCCACAGTGAAAATACCTTAGCCTGGATTTGACGATATCTGCGCCGCTGAACTCGTCGAAGTTTCTTTTCTGAGACCATATGCACGTTCAGGGAAGTTAGTTTGGCTTCTTTGTAGAGCAGGTCGATAAGTAAGTACATGGGTAGCTGGCTCTTGCCCTGGGCTCTGGTGTGCAGACCGAGCTGCCAACCTTCCACATCATTGTTGGTCCTGGCCGACTGCATAAAGACTGACCAAGAGGATGGCAGCCAGGTGTTGCTTTCGATCCAGGTGCTCGATACGTAGTCGGTGAAGTGGCGAAGAGGTGCTGTGTTTGCTGTTTGCTGGAGGCGCTGGAACTGCGGCCTGATGTCTTCTTCTTGATGATGATGATCGTTTATTCAGCCTTCTTGCAGTAGAAACTGAATTACAAGGCGGGTCATGATTTACAAATACTTCTACATTATGCATACATAGAACTATTTTAGATATCAATTAAATATAAATATTAAATATTGTGTAAACATTAAATACTATAAGTAATAAGATAAATTGCAGTTAAGTATATTACACATGATTCTGATATTTAATAGTACAAAAATTTCCAAATCTAACAGATCTTGAGGAGGTAGGTACAGACACAGTTCTTCCTGCCCTAAGGGCATATGGTCTTGAAAATTGACATCGCGGTACTAAATTTCGTAGTACGTCAGAAGAGTAGTAACTCCGCTTAAGGAAAGCGAGGAAGGGTAGAGCCATGACCTTTCGTATGAAAGCATGGGTGCCCCGATCCTCCCTGTACGAAACCTGGAGGCCAAGCTCTTGCACTTAGAAAAATTAAAGGAAGAGGACTTGTTTTAAAGGAGCTACGTTGCCGTTCATTGATTTTAAAAAAAAAATTGTTATGATTTAGGTTATCGAATAAATGACTCAAAATATTGAGACGTAGCTCCTTTAAATTTATTTGAAAGTACACAACCAACAAACACACTCAGAGTCAATTGAATTGTGGCCTCAACGAACGGCGATATTTTTAAACTTGATACGGCATTAACAAATAATAAATAATAAATTGAATTATGGCCTTCAAAAACAACTAATGACGAAATTTTTTAGAAAAAACAAGAATATACTAAATAATGGTAAGTGACACTAACCTTCCTCCACAGGGCTTGAGTCCAATGGAAGACGCACCCCAGTAGTTTGACGTCTGGGAGCAGTTGTCGAAGTACCTTCCATACTGCACACTCGAAGTCTAGCGTGACTTGTCGTAGCGCTGGGGATGGTAACAGCTCTAGCAGCTCTCGGAAAACAGCTCTGTAATCACGCTTCCGTTTGCCCGACATAAGGACAAACAACCAACGGCACCTGCTTGACGTAGTCAACTGCCTTTACGAAGGCGTTGACTGTTAACAGCTGGGTAAACGGCTGACGGTACAGCTTGAAGGTCGCATCCACGTACCAGCTTTTTGCTCTGTTGAGTAGGTCGAGTTGGTGTCGTGTCGCGAAAATCAAATGACGGCGTCCACCAACCTAGTTAGAAAACGAATGCCATAATTAACCTACTGTAAACTGCCGCATAATGATTACAACACTGCTCCAGTCCGTTTAAAAGATCTTTGTTGTGAAACTGTAAAACGGTTTAAAATTAAAAGGATGGTTTTAGGATTTAATAAGTAAATTAATCTATTGAGCAAACAGATTCCATAAAGATTTTGTGTTGTGAAATTGTAAAAACAATAAAAAACGGGTGGTTTTCGAAATAAGTTACATCGAGTTACATCGTAATAATCTTACAAACTTTTCCTTCGATCGATCGATAAATCTTACAGCAGTGTTATGTTTATGTTATAAGTCGATCGTTCGCGTAAATCGATCGGAGAATCTTACAAACTTTTACTTGATAAGCGAAGTTGCGCGTTTGGGCGACGCAACTTTGATGTTGGGGCGACACAACTCCGATGTTGGGGCGACGTAACTTCGATTGGGGCGACGTAACCTGGGGCGACAAGGCAATGGGGCGACACAACCTACGAAAGCTCTCCTTTACAGCAACTCTTGCAAATCCACAATTAAAAATGACAGACATTTTCGTTTCACACGAATACACTTAGCTTATCGAGTAGTACCGTTGTTAGGGAACAAAACCTTGAAGAGTTTCAAGGAATCAGTGCGATAACTTTCAAGTTTTGCGCCAAAATTGTAATTCAGTCTCGTTATATGATACTACTTGGGATAAAATTACAAATGTTCTTCATTCTTACCGCCCAAATTTGCAATTGTGTTTTGTTAGAACTGTCAAAGGCGATCTAACCCTGGATTTACAGAGATGCAATCGACCTCAGAAAACGAGAAAAAGAAATAAATACCATCAAAAGTAAACAAAATTTGCCTGTATTACTTCTGAGATTGCTCCAATCTAATATTTGGTAGTGTGTCAGCCGTTAAATTATTGCTTCTGAACACTCGCGTGACTCGCGTGTCAAAATGGCGGACACTAAGATGAATTACGTGACTGCGAGTTTTCAAAATTCCCACCTCTTAAACAGTTTTAATTTGTTTTTTTTCCAAATAAATAGGAACCTGTGGGATTACTTTCGTTTATAGCGGTTGGAACCAGGTAAAGGCTAAGATGTTTTCGGGCGAAAACCATGATAGAGGAAGCAGCTTCGCAAAGACAAAACTTGATTTAATCTGCCTAGCACATCTCTCTTTTTTTTGGCAGCCATTCCAAGAGGGAAAACAATGAAAAACGTCTCAAATATTCATAGCGATAACTGCATTTTGATTTGCCTTGCGTTTAGTGGTGGGAATTTGCTCAAGAAAGCAACCGACGAATTTGGCGCCTAAATTAACTGTTTTTGGCTGTTGAGAGTATCATATTACGCTGCCACAATTCAGTCCGAGAGAGATGGTAGTGATACACATTTCTGCCAAGTATGAGAAAAATCCCTCGCAAAATAGCTAAGTTATTCTCAATTTTGTGAAATTATGGGTTAAAGACAGGGTGACCCAGGCTTTAATTAACCTGAGAAGATCAATTAATTTAAGAATCTCTAATTCCTTAAAGAGAGGCTCGGATTGTTCATCTGGTTTTGAGAAAGTTATGGTAAGTCTCTCTCGAAGAATTATTAAAGGCTTAAGAGTAGAACTATAAGTATTGCCCCAAATTGATAAATCATAGGTGAGGAAGGGGTAAATAATTGAATAATATAATTGATGTAATATGTTTCTGTTTACATAATAATATACATAATGTGAATGAAAGTGATCCTCGCAGTAATGTGCACTACTTAAGCAGTAGTGAAAATAAGGCCTGAAAAAAATTCAGGCCTGTACGGGATTTGAACCCATGACCTCTGCAATACCGGTGCAGCGCTCTACCAACTGAGCTAACAAGCCAACTGGGAGCTGGTCATGAAGTTGGTTCTAAATAAACCCGTGAAGTGATGAATAAATGGTTAAGAATATATGAAAGTCATATATTTGAACTGCGGATAAAGACGTCTTTATCACTTATGTTCCACGTAACGCGGCATGATTCGCTAGCTAAGTGGAAAAATGGTAACGTTGGTCAAATATTGACAGCACAAATATCTCAGTAGATGTGATTTGCTCATCATGGAAGCTTCGAGGAAATTTATTTTTCTTTGAAAAGAGTGCATTTTCCTGGAGTGTTTGAATCACCAAATTTTATTGAAAAGAGCCGCTAAATTCTCGAAGCAAGCATGCTGCGAAAGACGGTACCTTGAGTTATTCAACCGATTGATGGTTGGAAAGGAGGAACGGTGGATCGGCGCAATGGCGGAATATCAAGCTTTTTTCTAGTGGTACTTTAAAGACCCTTCCTTCCAGCTACCGTATAATGTAACGTGAACCGACAAATGACGCGCGTGCTTGGTGCCAATACAGGCATAAAAATCATCTTAATCTCCTAAACAAGCATGGTAACCCTTTTTTATTGTACTTATCGTAACAGACGGAAAACTTAAGGAAAGTAAGCCGATGTTTGTCAACTTCAAAGTTAGCGCTTTGTAAATACAAGTTAGCGACTACTTGAATTCAATGTCAAATTCAGGTTTTCAATTCCCTCTTTCTGCTTTTCATGCAGTTAAAACCGGTTTAATTAAACTTGGTTTGCTGGTATGAAAGGGGTATAAACCTCTCATGAAAAAACAGAAGTCAAATTCTAAAATGTCAAAACCTAAACTAACACTTATGATGAATCTAGGAATTACAGTGGTAAACCCAAAAACTAACCTGCCTTTAGAAAAACAAAAAAAGCTAGTCTTGTGGATTTGAAGGTACTTGCAATGTGGCCTCCATTGCAACATTTTTATATGCAGTCAGTTTGCGCTATTTTCGCGCCTTCGTATGAATTCGATATTTTAAAAAAATGTTCATTATCTTGGGGAGGCAAGGTTTCAGTTCTCTTCCCCGCTCCCTCAACTCCACGAGTGAAGGGTCCAAGGACTCCTGTGATCAAAGGATGGCATCCATACACTGAGATTATGAAAGAAAGAAGTCAATTCATGCTGACACAGAATTGCACTGAACAGCTCCCTGTGTTAAATTACGTCATTAGCCAGATCTTTCGGAGTGTATTGTACTATCTAAAAGAAAAAAGAAAAGATAATTATAACGTAATATCTTCTTCAATTTTTTACAGCAATAATTGCGTCATGCCCCATTTTTGACTTAGCGTACCCGCGACAAGCATTCCTTTGAGATAACTGTTTGAAACGTTTACATGCTGAGATATTGTTCTGGTTGCCATACGATAACAGATGGATCAATCACCCACCAATCAATACAGAGCCATGTTGTGATATCTTTGCTCAATTAGACTGAGTAAAAAGACCTTTAAAATAAGAAAATAATGATCTTAAAATATACCTGCTCGAGAGATATAAATCTCCGGATCAATTTCACCGACCATATTATCTTGGGCCTTCGGCAAACTAGAATTGAAAGATAATTCTTAAATAACCAACTGAGATTGAAATACATGTTCAACATGGTCAAGGCTACATGCAGGGATCATCGTAAGCCCGTGCATTTGAAGTTTGTGTTTTGCGCATTCCTACGTTTCTTCATCTTGTCATGTTAAGTGTATTCTCTCATCAGCAAGAACGTTATTTTAAGAAGAATTTGCGTTAAAGTTTAGAATCGTATACAATAAGATCGAAAGGCTTAGCTGGCAATCAGAAAAACAATTGCTTTTTGGAAGCTTATACATACTGTGAAAATTATCATGAAGTAACACATTCAGAAAAGTAAAATGCATAGGCAATTATCTTAGTTATGTCATTTGGGAGCAATTCGTTGCCTTTTACCGAAAGCTCCATGGTGTCTAATCGCCTACAGTTGTTGCTTTACTCCGGGTAAACTGTTTCGATTTGCTTCTTATGCTTGGATTTTCCTTTGATTAAGAACAAAAACCAAAGTTGTACTTGAATATTTTTAATCAAACTGTTTAAGTGGGCAGATATAAAGCCCTCATATCCGCAAAAGCTAATGACAATTTCCACGTTTCTCTTTATAAGAATTATGCGAAGACAAAATACTTACGTAGCCAGCAGTATTTCGAACTCTTCTATCGTTGTCTGTACTCGGTCACAAATTTTTCCCAGTTGTGCAGCAAGCTGGTTCAAGATGTGTGACTTGTTACCAAGCAATGCGATCTCGTCTGACTTCTCAAGTTTGATGCTCTTCAATTTCTCTGAGATACTCCCTTCAGCGGCGTCCTTTTCCTTGCTTAAAAGCTCTTTGCAGTCTAGGCAGAGCTTTCTTGTTTGATTCGCGAGGCGACTTTTCCAGCAATCTACTTTGTATTGGCTTATTGGGAATCTTTCCTTTAACTGGTCTCCCAAACGAAAGCCACGAAACCATTCTCCAACAGATCCTCCCACAGCTCCAACAGGACCTCCTACGGCAGTTGCCAATGCTCCACCCGTCATCACTCCTGGTAAGATCGCCTCTCCAGCAAAGCCTATGAGTGCCCCTAGAGAACCAAAGCGAGAAAGTCTTAATCATTTGTGATAACCTATAACAAGATACATCGGCTATAAACTCAAACCATAATTTAGAATGAGATATTTTTATAGAGATCCTTGTTTTTTTTACCCCTTACATGAGCTGATGTACAATAATAAGGCGGCTTAGCGGTTATTACAAGGCATCCTTCTCACATGTTATTTCATACACAGCATATTACACTGTAATTTCCCAATGCGAAGCAAAATGACGGTGATAAACTGACAAGAGTCTTCATACAGGGACACTGACTAAGCTGGAGATATCCGAGGTGAAATTTGAAAGATTTACTCACTTATACCTGGAGAATATAAATCGACACCTTGGAATACAGCCCAAATTTAGAACATCCAGGATATAGGAGTCTAAATTCAGAAACACGCCATAATTTTGTGGGATACAAAGTAAAATGGCAAATTCGCTGAAAAAGTTCGTGCCCGTGGCGGCTCATGGTAAAGTGAATCTGAAGTTCAAGGTAACTGAAAAGGACTGGACGCGTAAATGGAAATGTCTGATTCTGACTCACGTACCTACACCGGCACCAGTCAAAAAGGCAGGAGTTGCAACGGCTGCGACACCAACTAAGGCTGCACAAATGTAGTTGTTCGTGTAGTAGTAATGAAAGTCGCGATACCAATGGTATTGGTCTTCAGGTAATCCTTGACTTGTAAGCTTAGGAGTTTCTTGAGACGGAGGCGTAATGAGAAACTTTAACTTGTGGAATTGCGTGTTTTTCTTCCATTCTTGTAGGGCAGTATCAGTTACATCTCTTTTGCTTTTTAAATTGTTTCGGATCTTTGTATTGATCTCGTCGAGAAATTGTTGGACAGCCTCTTCTTCTGATGTGCCATTCAACAGTTTGTTTTCAACCTCCTTTAATAACTTTTGGACTTCGCCGTCAGTTAAAATTTCTAGGTCTTCATCCTTACTCTTGATGTCATCAAAAACTTTTTCTAGCTTCCCGCTTTCTTCTTCCATCAAAGTCAACCCTGTTTCCAGACAATTTAGCTTTTCTCTTTTTCTGGTTTCAATGACAGTTTTTAGCTTTTCGCAGACCTCCCTGGATTGCAAAGCGACAGTTTTTGCCTGCTGTTTTAGTGACCCTATCTTCAACTTTGTTGCACTCGTGGCCAGTTTGTTCTCGAACTGACGAAATATATCCTGAAAATAAGGGGTAGAAGGCAATTCGCCTTGCTTTTAGAGTTTCATTATATAATTATAACAGATTACCATCCTTGCTTATCTTGGCACTGAAGAACACACGCGTTCTTGTATTTCGTTTTCTGTTCATGGCTATTTTGTTACCAACTTGTGATGCAAATAAGGAAAATTCAGAAAAGAATGAAAAAAAAGAATGTCATCAGAGGTAAGAATGTCTCGAAGTTTTGATAGGTGTGTCTTGCCTCTCCATGTTCAAACTCTGTTGCTGAAGTGATTGCATTACACTTAAATCGGAAATTTGAGCAAGAATTAGGATGCATGGACTTAGAACTTACATCGGGATTTTCGAAGTTTTTGACGTTCACGAAGTAAACTTTGCCTTTCCCTTGAAGCACTTCACAGAACTCCTTCATGTAATCATTGGCAAGTTTTACCACATTGCGGACGCTCTCGTCTCCTTCTTCTCGCGCTTTTCTTATGCATTCGTCCCATTTGGTGAAGACTCCAAAAGTAAATTGGCAGCCAACATTTTTCACCAGGTTAATGAGCTATAGGAGCATCAAAATAAAAAACAGTTTTGCAAATTAGAAAAATAGACATCGAAATGTGAGAAATGTTAGAAATGTGAAGGGCCACAGACAACACTTTCCTAAAGAGGATCACTGCTGCCGTGTTTGGTATCTGGAGGCATGTCTGGTTATTTCTAAATACCACTATAGTTTGTTTCCATATGTACCAATATGGTGTTGCTTGAAAAGGGGGATACGAAGCTTCCCATGAACCACAGAACCCACCTCGTCCCGGAGTGATGTTTATGGTGCTCTAAGATTATAGAGCTAGGCGCCTCTCGTAATCAAATATTATCTGCAAATATTTCAAGTTCATAATGTTATTCTTTTTTTGACTTAACAATGAAACACGAACTTGCGTTATATTGAAGCTTTAATTTTGCGGCATGGCGGGAAGGAGCAAAGATAAAACAAAGCGATGGAAAAGGAAGGAACTAAAATATTTGCGTAGGCCTGAGGGACAGAAGTCCTCATTTAAAGCCTACGGGGGAAGAACATTGGATGACAGAAAAAATCGACCAGTTATACTATTTCCTTACTTTTTCCAGTAATAAAATTGTATGAAGTCTTAGACAGTATTTACTAGTTTGAAGAATAACAGGCTTTTATGTCTATGATTCGATCATAATTATCCGAGGTGAAATTCCAACAGACACTTCCCGGATAAGAATTATCTACGTTTTGAAAGAGGATGTCAGTAATTAGCAGTTTCCATGGAGCGGAGTTTCAATATTAGGTTACAATGCCATCAACCTAATTGAAAACAGCAGATTCTCTAAATAGAGGAAAAATGTGCAGTTTACTCACTCTCCCTCTTGACGGTGACATGGAATCCATTACTGCTACAATTACGTCTGCTTTTTTGCACGTCTGGGAGACAAGCTCCATGTCTTCATCACTCTCTCCAAAGCCGGGTGTGTCACACAAGATAACGTTTCGTGGTAACTTTTTGCATTTGCTCGCAGGCCAATTGACCTGTATAATGGTCCTTAGACCTATTCCCTTCTCTTTCCGTAGCTGTTCATTCTTTTGACCACCCATTTTATTCAAGAGATCACGTACAGTCTTGTCGTCAGTTAACTTTGAGAGAATCTGTTTGCTTCCATTTTCGTTAATGATTTCAATACTCCACTCGCTGTCTTCAGTGATGCAAACTTTAAAGGAACACATGGTTGTTTGCATGAATCCAACAGGCAGACGAAGTTCGCCGAGTAGAGCGTTTATAAGGGATGATTTGCCACTACCGGTTGATCCAACAAATTGAATGACTATATCTTTCGAGGCTTCCTTTTCCCGAACATTCTTCAAATCATCCATTACTTTGTCGAGGCTTTGGGATAATTGGCTCAATTCATCACATTCCTTAGGCGTTGCTCCCTCAGCACCTAGTGTTTTCTCATAATCCTTCAAAATATACGCAATTTTTTCTGTATCTTCTTGTAGCGGTTTTGTTAACTTTTTCACGTCCTCGACTAGTAATGAAAGATTTCTCCACGCATTCTCCATGACTCGCGAAGGTCTATTCCAGTTAGTACTTTACCTTTTATGTTGCAACAAAGGAATAAAGTTTATGTCTGAAAATAAATATTGAAGACTATCATTGAAATTGTCTCACTTTTTCATGCATGGAAAAGGATATTTAAGAATTCTTGAAATTTCAAAGATGTTCCTAGCATCTTTGACATCCAGGAAGCTCTTTTACTTCAACTGAAACGTCCTCAAAACTCAGAGAGTTACATGCATAAGTTTATGGGCTTCTCGTACCTTGTTGAACCCACTGAAATGATACCAGGAGGACTAATCAAAGGCTCCTTGGAGCTACCTCATGGTATTTCTTAATTATTCAATAGTGGTAAGAATTCATACTTTTGCCATCTCCCTCCAGTAGCGGTAACGGCTCACGGGATATCAACGGAAAATATACAAGAAAAAAAGTCAGATAAATCTATGGCCAAACAGTGACAAAACTGTCGGGGAATGATGAGCAAATTGATACAGAAAATTCAATCTGTGACCAGGCAAAAAATAAAAATGGACCGCGCGTTCAAACTGCGATTAATAAGATTCACGCCCAAGGAGCGAAATAGCTCACATGGTAATTGCGTAACAAAAAGAAAGGTCAAGTCAAAAGAAATCTGTAAAACGTCAGAACTGGTAATCAGCTGCCAAATATGTCTTAAAATCTTGCTTAATAACAGCGAAAAATATACAAGAAATTAACTCAAGGCAAGAAATAAAATCCCTCACAATAGTATAATAACCACACCATTATTAACTCCAAGAGCGTTAGCCAGCGCTAAAAATAAATCATACACGGGATATCAACGGCGTGAGATTGGGGACAAAATCGATCATTGTATTTCGTACGTGTGTTTTTCTGTGTGAAGCAACAGAAGGTGCCGGTGACTGACGAAATTACAGGTTAACACGAAAATCAAATAACACCTAAACAAATAATTTTGGCCACCGATTTTCAGTGAATTTTTTAAGAACAATTTTCTTTTAAGTTTCAAGACAATTTGAAGATTCAAAATAAATATTACGTACTAAAATGCGAAAGTTATATACTACAAAATTGATAAATAGGCCCGAAATGAAATTCTATCTTGTTATTGATTATACGTTGCCTAGCACGTGACCAAAATCTACCCATGCGGAAATCCAAACTGACGGTGGCAGTCTGGGCTTAGTTATAGCACTCAAAACTCATTCCTGTTTGTCTCATTTTATAAAGAGGAAATCATTGATGTTTTCATTACGACAGCATTGTCTTGATTTTCCAATATTTACAATGATAGACAGTAAATTTCACTTTTCACCCACATTTACTTCCAATCTTTTCTTTTGAACCAGAAACAAAAATTATATATGTTTAAAACACATGACATCATCCACCCTTGTCAAATGTAAGAGCATGATCATTTCAATTCTAATGCCTTCTTATCCCAACGTTATTTTGTTTCTATGCTACATTAGCGAACACTGAACTACTGCTCATACTCTAAATATGACAATCAACCACGAAATTCCCTAAACCAGATAACATTAAACATAATCCAAAAAATCATGTAAGTCATCTGTCAATTCACGAGTTTGCTCACAGAGCACTTTGATCAGATCTTGCTACAAACACTATGTTATACTACTAATTTACATTGTGCTCTTACAGTATTCACGTAACTTTCAAATCTGCAGCTGAACCCTAATAGCACAGATACTTGTATTTAAGTCTTAATTCTTTAGCTCCCAAGATCTCATTAGTAATTCTCCTTACTCTCTGCCATGCAGTTCTTGTGATGTTAGTTTTGAGAATTTGGTATTGGATCAACTAATAATCCTCTAACTAATATTTTTCTTTATTCTCATCACTTGCCTACTTGATATTGTAGTGATATGATAAGGGAAATTCTGTCTTGGTCACTTATGGGAGGTAAAGGGTTAAAGCGTTTATATAGGTTGATCAATCTTGGCGGCGTCAACCCTTATATGTTTTGTTCTTGACCAAATGCTCTTTATGGTGACGTCTTAGCGTAAGTTTCTTTTTGTTGGGTTCAGTGATTGATAAAGGGAATTTTTTATGGGTCAAGGCTTAATCAATTCAATGGAAATGAAAAATTGCAAACACTAAGGCACTTATTTGAAAATAGACGACGATGCCTCAGGGTTGTTTGCTTTCTGAAGTTTTAATCATAGGTTTTGTGCCAAAGAAAAAGGGACCTTGGCAAGTAGGGTAATTGCATCTCATCAAAAAACGATAGTATAATAAAATACAATTAATGAGTCCTAATGGCTTCCTTGCCCAAGATAACAGACTGAGCGCGACACATTGTGATCATTGTCAAAATACGGAGTGCTAAATTTAAAATTTTTCCAAAGCGCCTAACACTTAGTTGATCCCTTTGTTTCTTTTTTTTTTTAAGAATGATAGAGTTAACAATGCACATGTAAACCAGCGTAAGGAAACATCAACTCAGCTGTCTACGTCTTTAATGGCAAGTTTTATTTTTGTAAAAATATTCAAACAGACCGGCTATCCAGTGTCAACCTTTATATGTTTTGCTCTTGATCAAATGCTTCTTACGGTAACGTGATCTCAGCGTACGTTTCATTTTGCTGGGTTCAGTGATTGGTAAAGGGGATTTTGTATGGGTCAGGGCTTAATCAATACAATGGGAATGAAAATTCCAAACACCAAGAGTTGTTTTCTCTCTGAAGTTTTAATTATAGGTTTTGTTTTGACGAAAAAGGGACTTGAAAATAAAGGCGGCCTTTGTCGTGCTATTACGTGTTTTGATTCACCATAGAAGCGTATTCACCTCCCGCTTGGCTTTTTAAACATTATACGGCACAAAGCATCATATTTGAGCAGAATATGATAAATTAAACATGATGAATCATTTTTGTGTGACAAATATGATTCGGCGACTATCATTCAATTTGTACACGCATATCACACCAGATTAAAAGGGGACGAACTTATAGTTTTTTCTGTTTTTCTCTTTCAGCGTAATGCTAGGGTGGTGCACCGCTTTTTCTCAATTATTACGTCGATCTTTAATTAAGCCAAAACGAAATTCGCGCCTTTTATAATCCTTCAGAGAATATTTTTTCGGCGACACGCGCAAGCGTAAAAAAAAGAGATTATGTCTCAATATAGAAATTAAACGTAGAAGACCATTGATATCAACGGGAGTGTTGATATTGATATAACTTATTTTGATAGAATTTGGTTAAGTGATGTCTCTGATGAAGTTTTACACTACAGAAAGGTTCAAGACAGTGTTTCAGCAGAATAAACATTCAGAAATTAGTCAATATGTGGTCAATAAGTGAAAGTGAATGGCTGTCAGCAGTGGTGTTCTGCATTTGTGCAGAGCGCCGATCAATTCAGAGGTAACTCTATCTTTTCCTGCATCAACAACTGCATTCTAGCTACATTCCCAGTCTTGGTTTGTCCAAAATCTTAAGTTTTTGTTGCATTTTTTAGTGGAAAAAGCGTCATGTTTTGCAAAATTGAAAGTGTTTCCCTTATTAGGAATTTCGACTTTGAGTCGCTTAGCTTGTCCGATCTTGCTCTTAACAACTTTAAGGACTGTATTTGGGACTGCCAAATATGACTCACCTCTTCTATGCTGGCTTTAAATCAGTGTATTTCAGAGTTAACATTGGAAGCTGTGGCCTTTATGTAGTTCGATCGATCGATCGATGGCTGGCGGCGTCTTTCGTTTGTCTCCTAATAGGTTTAGCCCCTAATGACAACTTGATCCCTCCTGCCTATCATGTTGATAGGTTCAGTGATTAAAGAGCACTACTTTTTCATTGGTCAGGAAACAGTTGATAAATTTTTGATTAAATTACAAAAAAAATTGGTCTATACTGTTTGGTTATGGCTCGGGGTAACAAGACCTGCTGATTGCGTGATAAGCTATGGCGTAGAACGCAGCTCCAACACGACAAACTCACAAGCAGAGATTTCATACCTAAGGAAATAGGCAAAATATATCCAGTCAATGAAGTATGAAGGTCTTTATTTTGAATTGCTTCAATTGATATGCCATGGCAACAAAGCCCTCATAATGCCGCCACAAATCGCCGCCATTGTTTTTGGGCCATTGTTATATGGAACAAAGAAAATTTGATTTGACTGTGAAGATCCATTATGGAATCCGAAAGATTGTATGATATATTATTAAGGTTTAACGTAATTCTGCTTGAATTAAACAAACGATTTAATTTTCTTCAGTCATTCGAAAAGTTGGATTCAAAACTTTTCGATTTAAGTTGGAATATTTTTAACTTTGTTTTTTTTTTGGAAGTGAAAGATTTTGATTTTATATACAACGCTACAAATTCTGTATACAATACGATGCAATTTCAGAAAGTTAAAGATCCTATCTATGGACTATTTATGTCCAAGAGATATGAAAAATTACCAAAGACAAAATGCCCAATAGTTGTGGAAGGCTCGTAACCAGCAGAAAAACTTAAAATGTGTGCCATGATAATGATCTTTACATTACCAACATAGTTTATAAGCATTATGCAAGTCAGAGATACGCGATGCAGTCACCTTGTGGTAAGCATAGGAATCAGTCTGACTTCATCCTTCAAAGAAACAATTATTAAAGAACATCATCGATGGAAAAGTATATTCTGGGATCAATTTAAGTTTTGATCATGACTTAGCAGGTTCTATAGATCAGTAGGGAACAATGAAAATCAGGAAACTTGCGGCCCGGTCTTAGAGCCCTGATTACCCAGCTACAAAGATAGTGTACAATGTGGAAGTGAAGCCGAAGTTTAAAGTCTGTAGACGATAATTGAAAAATTTTTTTCTCCATGTTAACGTATATCAAGAAAACGAGGACGATTGAGGTTCCTGGTATATGCTGAACTCGTGAGAGCCAATGAATTATGTATCTCAGAGGTACTGTGATAAGGTGGGGAGGGGACTTCGCAACTTCCACTCAAGGAGGGCCTACATTACAATAAAAACCCTAAAAAAG